AAATAGATAAGAGGGCAAAATAAGGGCATAGTAGTCAAATGATAATTCAACTGAAGTTAAAACCATGTAGGCCAAGCTCCTTCCTTATTTAAATGTTCATATTGACAAGTATTACAGGATGAATTGTCTTCTACAGATATTGAACAGCTTTGTCCATAATCAGGAAAGGGTTTGTGTTTATAGCAGGGAAGGAAAATCTGAAACTAGTGACTCCCATAAAAAGCTTTGGTTGTTATATTGAGGGAAAAATCATGAAACCTGTATTGGTGGCAGTTTAGCTGCTGAATCATGCCATCTGGAACCAATGACTGCAGTTTATCATGTGCTCAAAGAACCTCTACTAACTTGACCATTTTTTCAGGAAACGTTCATTATCTCAAGATGTTCAAAAAAAGGCATGTTACTTTTATAGTGTAATAATTCCAACTGAGGCACAACAGAGACAAGTTGGAAAGCTGCCAGAGAAAAAGGCTACTTAACTAAGGGACTGAGGGCTTGGAGCTCCAAAAGAGACAAGAGGTGAGACATCACAAAATAAAAAATGGAGGTGCTTTTATTCCTTGCCTTAACCTCCATTTTGGTCTATCATGTAGTAAGCTTTTAACACATTTCCCATTTTCTTCAGAAAGGACTGGACATAGCCAGGGGTGTGATTCAACCGTTGTAACAACTGGTTTGGTGAGCACGTGCTTTGTGAGCGCACAGAGGGTTTGCTACTGACCACCTGGAATCCTGCAATCACCCTGTGTGTTAAACAGCTGATGCGTGGCAATCCGTTGTGCCGCGTGAATCAGCTGAGTTTGAAAATCAGGAAATTAAGGTCAGAATAGAGCTGGGGCAGGTGGGCGGGCCCAACACCTAATCATGTGGTTGCTCACAGATGATCCTCGGAGCTAACGGTTTGGCCGAATCAGGCCGGACCGGTAGAATCCCACCCCTGGACATAGCGATTTCTTCACTGATGATAGAAAGCATTAGGAAGAACTCTGTTTGTCACAATTTTCATTTCTCCATGATACATTCTTCACCTGATGGGCCTTCATATCTCTCTCTACTTTTAATGGTGCCATGTCTTTGTATCATACCAAACTGTTGTCCAGTTTGGTATTTAAGTAGTTTACTTAGACAAATGTTTTTGCCATAAATTAGAAATTGCTTGTTTCTTTCCCCTTTAACTTATGGCTAAACTAGAGGATCTGTAGGATTGTGGAATGCAACTCCTGTTAGGCTCTGCTGCTTCTTGCATGTGAGTGGTAATATATCTGAAGGAGCAAGCGCTATCATAGCTTCAATAATGCCTGTAGTTAAACAAACACAAATTACATTCAAACAATTCAATGTATTCATTAATTATCCCAAGTCAAACATTATTCTGAATTCCTAAAGAAACAAAATCTCCCTGTTCCCTAAAAGTAATCATTATGGTAGGAAGATATTAAAGCATACTATTGACTTCTCAGCTTAATTCCTAAAACATAATTATTAACATTGTTAACAATAGTGTTGCATAGGGGGAGAGGGGAAACTCCTTTTGAAATATTTGTATTAGTCAGTGGTCAGTTCCATATAATTTGATGGTAACAAGACAAATTATTGGGTACGTGATAGGAAAAAACCCGAAGTTCTATCCTAGCAGAATGATATTCACTAATATGAGTTATGAGTATGAGTTTATGTTCTGTAATAACTATTTTCTTTAGTAGAAATTTGAGAGATGGACATAAAATAACAAGATCTAAGCAAGATCTATGTTTGGGATTTTGAAAGCATATGATGGAGATTTTCACAAGTAACTAATTATATTATAAAATATGATTATAAAACCCATTTACCATACAGAAAATGAGTAAATTTGCTTCTAGACCCTAAGAGCCCAGCTGACACCTCTAGGATTTCCTAAGTGTAGATGTTAGATCTGGAGGAACTTATTACTTGCTAGGAACTATGTTGTGCCCTCTAGTTGAAGGAGACTTTGGCTAAGGTCTAAGAATTAAGGTTATAATACATTATAAAGAATGCCAAGAGTTACATAATTTTGTTTGTTTAAAACATCATAAATTGTGGAATACCATGTTCTACACTCCACAGGGGTCTCCTGTGAAAATTAATATGGAGGATGATTGAAGTTGCTCCCACATCTAGGAGAACAAGCTACAATTCCTATTATTCTGAGTCTCACAGGCTAATTTGCTGAAAGTTTGCTCCCCAACTGGTGGGGCTGTCAGAAGGAGGCTGAGATGTTAAATTCCTATGTTGTGCTCAGGTAGATCTTGATGGCTCATCTGATGTCTGATTTGTGCCAGTCCCCCTCTCCAATTGGACTTGGAACTAGATAAAAGGAAGGTAAGTAAGTTCACTTGCTGGCTGTAGTGAAAGGCTGAATTCATCTTATGACATTGGGTCAAGGCACAGAATGCCCCCAATTATAATATCCATCTAGCAGTAGAAGTTGTAAAAAACGGAGTAGGTCATAGCTATTAGCAGTGCCCCTTTCTATGTCAGTTGCTGTAGGCTTGATTCATACTAGGATTACTTAGTGGGATCTGCTCAGTAGGTGATAGATGGCCGTCAGAACCAGGTGATTTTTGTTGCCTTGATGGAATGAAGTAATCCTGGGTTGAGGGCTGAGGAAATCTGGGATAGAGCTGTATGATAGAAGTTTTATGTATTCATAAGAGAACGAATTTCATTTAGTCTCCCATTTACTTTAAAGTTGAGATGGGTCGCTGTTGTTAGTATTTCTCTTTTTGTTGGCAAGAGAAGGCACATCTTCTAGACTGAGTCTGGGGTGATTTGTTCAGACGGTTTCTGACTCCTCAGAACGATCTGTGTCCTGTCTGGTCTAAGGATATAAGACAAGTGTAAAGATGAAAAGAATGGGAGATACAGCATGACATCTGCTGTCTTAAATCTCTTATTTTTATTGATTGGGACAAAGCTTTCTTTTTGTCCTTGATTGTTAGTAGGACTTCATCTTGAGCCTCTCTGAACTTCTTGCCTTTGAATGAGCCTAATATTAGGCTCTGTTTGAATTTACATTACAGATTTTGCAGCCATTGTTGCCTCTTCATGGTGACATTCATCACTGCATCCTTGGCTAAGAACCAGGTCTCCTGCTCAGTGCTGCAAAGTCTCTTATTTTCCTGTCATTTAGATATTTTGGAGTGTCTTACCTGACTATTTATTATAGCCGTGTACAGCAGCAATCTAGGACTACCTAAGATAAAATATAGAGTTTTATCTTAGGGAAGAAGACAGAGAATACCTTTGCTATCCATAGATCTGTTAAAGAATATGTGGGAATGGAATATACTGTAGTTTGATTACTAAGGTTTTGATAAATTTTCCTGAGAAGACGAAGTCTGATTTTTGGAGGAATGGGACAACTCCTTGAAGTGGACTATTTGATTGGTCTTGAAATAGCACTATCCAAGTTATATATCTATAGATGTGGGGACTGCTAAAGATTGAATTTGTGAAAGATCTCTTTCTATGAAAGCAGTTGTTGGACTTAAAGGAAGCAAAGTAGGAAGAGTATGGCTACTTTTGAAATTTAGTGTTGGAGAAGATTCACAAGAATATCTGGGACAGCCGAGGAAACAAACAAACAAAAATGCATCATTGAACAACAGTTCTTGTTTGAAGCACACATTATCCTCATTGAGGCACCTTATGCAAAGACCTAACTTTCTGGAAAAGATTATAATGCTGGAAAAGATGAAAGAGAAGGAGAGGACATCCAACAGTCATGTGAACGGACTCAAAAGTGCCAATGGGTGTACCATTGGAAGACCTGAAGGACCAAGTAAGGGATAAATTGACATGGAGAAAATCTGTTCGATTACTAAGAGTCAGCAACAACTTGATGGCACATAGTCAGTCAGTCAGTCAATTGGAAGTTATCCTACTTCCCAGGAAAGGAACAAGGGAAGATCAAGGAAAAGAGAGTTTGAGTTAGAGCCACATACACTGCTCAAAAAAATAAAGGGAACACAAACAACACAATGTAACTCCAAGTCAATCACACTTCTGTGAAATCAAACTGTCCACTTAGATAGCAACACTGATTGACAACCAATTTCACATGCTGTTGTGCAAATGGAATAGACAACAGGTGGAAAGCATAGGCAGTTAGCAAGACATGCCCAATAAAGGAGTGGTTCTGCAGGTGGTGACCACAGACCACTTCTCAGTTCCTATGCTTTCTGGCTGATGGTTTGGTCACTTTTGAGTGCTGGCAGTGCTTTCACTCTAGTGGTATCATGTGACAGAGTCTACAACCCACAAAAGTGGCTCAGGTAGTGCAGCTCATCCAGGATGGCACATCAATGCGAGCTGTGGCAAGAAGGTTTGCTGTGTCTGTCAGCATAGTGTCCAGAGCATGGAGGCGCTACCAGGAGACAGGCCAGTACATCAGGAGACATGGAGGAGGTCGTAGGAGGGAAACAACCCAGCATCAGGACCGCTACCTCCGCCTTTGTGCAAGGAGGGACAGGAGAAGCACTGCCAGAGCCCTGCAAAATGAGCTCCAGCTGGCCACAAATGTGCATGTAGCTGCTCAAACGGTCAGAAACAGACTCCTTGAGGGTGGTATGAGGGCCCGATGTCCACAGGTGGGGGTTGTGCTTACAGCTCAACACCGTGCAGGACGTTTCGCATTTGTCAGAGAAACACTAAGTTTGGCAATTTTGCCATTGGCTCCCTGTGCTCTTCACAGATGAAAGCAGGTTCACACTGAGCACATGTGACAGACGTGACAGAATCTGGAGATGCCATGGAGAACGTTCTGCTGCCTGCAACATCCTTCAGCATGACCGGTTTGGCAGTGGGTCAGTAATGGTGTGGGGTGGCATTTCTTTAGGTGGCTGCACAGCCCTCCATGTGCTCGCCAGAGGTAGCCTGACTGCCATTAGGTACCTAGATGAGATCCTCAGACCCCTTGTGAGACCATATGCTGGTGCGGTTGGCCCTGGGTTCCTCCTAATGCACGACAATGCTAGACCTCATGTGGCTGGAGTGTGTCAGCAGTTCCTGCAAGACGAAGGCATTGATGCTATGGACTGGCCTGCACGTTCCCCAGACCTGAATCCAATTGAGCACATCTGGGACATCATGTCTCACTCCATCCACCAACGCCATGTTGCACCACAGACTGTCCAGGAGTTGGGGGATGCTTTAGTCCAGGTGTGGGAGGAGATCCCTCAGGAAACCATCTGCTACCTCATCAGGAGCATGCCCAGGCATTGTAGGGAGGTCATACAGACACATGGAGGCCACACACACTACTGAGTCTCATTTTGACTTGTTTTAAGGACAAGACATCAAAGTTGGATCAGCCTGTAGTGTTTTTTTCCACTTTGATTTTGAGTGTAACTCCAAATCCAGACCTCCATTGGTTGCTAAATTTGATTTCCATTGATAATTTTTGTGTGATTTTGTTGTCAGCACATTCAACTATGTAATGAACGAAGTATTTAATAAGAATATTTCATTCATTCAGATCTAGGATGTCTTATTTTAGTGTTCCCTTTATTTTTTTGAGCAGTGTATATTGGTCAGTGAGCAGATCCTATTGGAAGAGCCCAAGAAGACAAAGAGTTCAGAAGCATGGTCTTGTGCATTACAGCCTGCACAAAAGACCGTTTTTCCTAACTGATTCCCTTTATATGTGTTAGGGTGGAAAATTGGGAAGTTGTTATCTGGAGACAATTAACTTTAAAAAAAAATCTAAAATGTACAGTATTGGCTTTGGTAGGGTTTTCAGGAGGCAGAATCTAATGCAATTAATAGATATCAGAAATTGAAAAGTTAATGAACTATGTCCCTATGGAGATGCATGTAAACTCATATTCCTAATTCATAAAGTGCCATTATGCATCGTGTGGTTCATTTTGAACTGCTAATAACAGGTTGAAAGATAAATAATAAGATAATCTAAATGCTTCTGCTTGTCTACTTATTAGACTCAGCGCTGGGCTGGATAAGAAACAATTATAATTATTTACTATATTTATTATAATTACTATTTACCCTTCATTTTTAAGAATTCAACCAAAGAACACAACATATAATAAATCCTGTTAAGATATATGTAGTACATCTTTAACAATCAAAGTGTGTTGATTGCAGCTCAACTGCTGAAAATTAAAATAAGTGAAGAGAATAAAATTAAGGGAAATTTAACTTCTATCCATAACTTAGATTGAAAGACAGAATGAGTAGTGAGCATTCTATTTATTTTTAACTGGACTTTGGCAACCATGCTTGTTTTATATCTCATGTATGAAATTATCCACATATACTAAGCGCTTGTGGATATCAAATAATACATTCTACCTTGACAGCTTTGGCCTTCCTCTAAAGTTTGGATGGAAAAGGAATATGTCTCGCTTGTAACTATGGTGCAGGTTCCCTGAAAGCACAACAGCCTTTCCGTTTAGGACTTGTGAGTGTTTGGCCAAGTTTGGCTTTGGTGTGAATCTGAAGAAAAAGGTTCTGAGACTGTTGTGAAAGAACCCAATATGAATCAGCTTCAGAGGTGAAACTAGGTACAGATAACACTCAACTTACAACTGTTCATTTAGTGACTGTTCAAAGTTCAAATGGCAATGAAAAAAGTGACTTATGACCGTTTTTTTTCACAGTTATGATCTTTGAAGCACCCCCCATGATCATGTGATGAAAATTCACATAACAACCAGATTACTAAGCTATCAACTGCAGTGATTCACTTAAACTGTGGCAAGAAATGTCGTAAAATGGGGCAAAACTCAATAAGTGTCTCACTTAACAACAGAAATGTTGGGCTCAATTGTGGTCATAAGTCAAGGACTACTTGTATAGTTGCCCAAAGGGGCTATTGTTAACAAATGGATTTGGAAAGAAGAGATGTAGATGTAGGGTTATAAAGTAAGAGTTGTAAGAACTGGCTTTGTTTTTGCTGGAATTCAAAGCAATATAATTAAATGTAACCTACTTAGGATATAATCCTAAGGATATAATTGTCCTCACCTTATGTATGAAATGCAGCTGGATTTACGGCCAGTCACTGTCTCAGCTCAACTCACCTTACAGGTTGTTATTGTGGAGAAAATTGGAGGAAGAAGTAATATTAGATATGTTGGCCTCCTTGAGTGGTTTATAAAAATAAGACGAGATTTAAAATACCTAAAAGGAAATCCAAATCAAAATGATACTTTCCCTGAATTTTTAACCTTCCATTAATCCTGAGAGATTGTTTACCTCAGTGGTTCTCTAACATTGTATTTTAATTTCCACCAATCACTCAGTTGAGACACATTTGTCTGTGTGTATGAGAGAGAAAGAGAGATGGTGGCATTAATAGAGAAGTTGGCTCTCACTTTGCTTGTTGTTCTGGCACTCAGCCATTTTTCCATATTTGTCACCACCCTGGCCTACTCAGGTTGGCATGAAAAATGGCATTTAATAAGTTGCCAGAATCCTGCAAATTGTAATCTACACTTTGGGGAGAAAACCTGATTTATTCTTTTCCATGCAGTGCTCATTTTTCTACTTCTGAGGAACTGGAGATCCAGCATCCCAAGGCCAGACATGTGGTATGCTTTTCCCGATAGAAGCGACAAGCTTGTTGGATTTGTTTTTTGCTCACGTATCTCATGTTTGGGTGTGCTAATTGCTCACAAAGTCAGCACTACTTCAGCCATGGAATGGCTCAATTCTGCTTGCAACATCCAACTCCAGCTTTGATGCAAAATACAGCTGACTTCCTGATTTTCTTTCAGCAATACATACCAATAATAGAGTTAGAACTCTGCCAGTTTTAATCCTAGAAATGTAACCAATTGCTGGGCTATTTCCATGTTAAGATCTGATAGCTCAACATAACACTGAGATTTATTAGTAGAATCAAGAGTCCACTGTGGTTTTTATCGCATGAAAAAGAGGCATCCTCCTCCCCAAATAAAGCCTGCTTGGCTTGTTCTGTAGTAAGATAGCTTGTCACAGGGACAAGATGAAATAAATATTTGTTTGAGAGATGCATAGAAACTCTTGGTTACTCCACGCTTTTGTGAAGAGGCAATTGTACAATGACTTCAAAGAGCTGTTCCTTAGATAATATTTATCTACCTAAGAATCTGGGGCAGAACTACAGAAGATTTTTTAATAGATTAGTGACCTTTTCTTGATAGTCTCTCCCTCCCTCCTCTTTCTTGCTCATCTCTCAGCTTCCCTGTATCAACGCTGTGTGGCACAACAATAAATATTTGCAAGCCAGTATTGACCTTCAAGCACATTATTTCATCCTTATTCAAAGCTGTTGGATAAATTGCCTGATGGTTCAGGTCCATATCTTCCTCAGATTAAGGGGTTTAGATCTTGCTAGGATCACAGAAAGGTAACAACTATTTGGAAGATATGATTTCAAGACACACTTGAAAATATTCAAACAAGGCATTGCTTTTTTAACAAAATGTTCCTAAACATTCTCTTGAATAGGAACACTTCCAAGTATTATATCTGAAGAAAAATGATCCCAGCAACACATAAGCTTCTACCCCTATTTTCCACACCATCACTACCAATTAATATTCCGAGGTCAGTACAGTATAGCATAGAGTTGCCATTAATAAAGAAAATATTTCAGCTTTAAAAAGACAAAACATTTTAGGTGATGTTTATTAGCCAATTATTTGAAGGTTAGAGGGGAATATTGGAATGAAGGTTTTATTCCTTTCCCCTTAAAAACGTACGCTTATTATGAAGTCCACACTTTTACACATAAATGAAATCACTTCATATACAGTACCTGAATTCGTATTTGACTATTTCCCCTTTCTAATAAAGCTTACATTTGAGTCTGGACTGATAACAAGAGACTCTGAACTCTGCTGAAATGTACTTTGCTTCTTCTGTCTGACAGATTTATCATGATTTTATGGAGCTGATGTCAGCGAAGGTAACATAGTACTAGCAATGCAGTTTTGATAATGTGCAAGAGAGTTGTAGCTAATGTCAGACATTCAATTGAATCACAAAGCCGCCAGTCCATGTTTTATTGGGAGTTCATTTGTTGCAATGCTGCTTGGATTTGTTGTTATTATTATTATTTTTTTAAAAAAATACCAATTGTGCATTTCCTTTCTATTGTGACATAAAAATAAGCAACCTAATGGTTGCCTGGAAAAGTTTATATGCTTAATGTTAGGCATTCAGAAACTTGTGGCAAGTATTGTGGGATTTTGTAACAGAATGGTAGATTTTTGTAAGTATGGCTTATAGAGATAAATTGCTTGCCAAGTTACTTTGTTATTGGAACAACCACGCATCCATTAAGGCATTTAAGCAAATGAACCAATGTATTTGTCATGTCCTTAATCGATTAAATAAAGTGGTAAGAGATTTATTTTTCAAAATGCACCCACTTAAAAATGACAATTTTAGGAAAGGCTGTTGAAGAAAACAAAGACACGTTTTTAGACATTGAGACTTGCAATCCAACTAAAAATAATGATCTTTAATGATAAGAATAAGTCAAAGTATGTATGATATGCACATAATAATAGGTTTGGGAATTACTTAAGTTATGTCTGATTTTTTTCTGTGAGAAGTAAAGTGGGGAAGATCCTTGACTGGGACTCCTGCCTAAGATAACATGGATTTAAGACAACTGAAATTTACTTGGAATTCATGTTAACAAAATACAGCTGAGGGATGGGAGTTACGAAGGCATGGAGGTGGTTTTGAATGAATTCTTTAGTTGATTGGCCAGAGACCAGGTTTTTACACTACTGGTTGCTGCCTTTTACCTGATGTCAAACCGTCCCATTTGGCACATTATTATTACCTTTATTGTCGGAGTACAACAGGTGTACAATGAGATTGGCTGAGCCTCCCTTTGTGCACTCCCCCCAACACAACCCACACTGAGGACAGAAGTCCCTAACTCAGTCCCAATCTTACTACAACATGTGACCTTGTTGCACAACGCGCCGGCCCCACAAATCTGTCATACTATGTTGACATGAAGTTATTTTCCGTTCAGAAGTCTGACAGCCCACGAGTAGAAACTGTTCTTCAGCCTGCTGGTGCGGCTGGCTATGCTTCTATATCTTCTACCCGATGATAGGAGAGTGAAAAAAGGCTGACCGGGATGTGAGTCATTCCTGAGAATTTTCCTCACTCTTCTAAGGCAGTGAGCCTCAATAAAAGAAACTCTATTTAGGATGACCAAGATGTAGCCCAGCAGAAGCAAAGTCAGTTCTGGGGTTTTCCTGCAAAACCCCACATAGGCAAAATCCCTTTTTCCCCACTAGGCCACCCACAGTTCACAATTCACCAATTGAGTTCAATTCTTTTGCTTTGGGAAAAACTGCACTGCTCAAACCTTCTTCATAATTTGTCCTTGAGGGATAATGTCTCACTGGCAACAGAAGGCTCTTGTGTATTCCATAGCCTCTTTCCCCTTAAAAATTCACCCCCCTCCTCACATCACTGTTTGGCAAAATGTGAGTGAAAGCAACAGCATGGAGTCGAGCTAAGTTTGACACCGGATTCAGGGAATTTAGGCATAAGTTCTATCTCTGCAGTGGCCTCTCAAGGTTTTTTTTTTGCTTCTGAAATATCTGGAGACAAAACCCAATCATTCCCTTTTAAATCCAGGTAGTCCTCAACTTACAACAATTCATTTAGTGACTGTCCGAAGTTACAATGGCACTGAAAACGGTGACCTATGACCATGTTTCACACTTACAACCATTGCATCGTTGGTCACATGATCAAAATTCAGACGTTTGGCGACTGACCCGTATTTATGATGGCTGCAGTGTCCTTGGCTCATGGTCCCCTTTTGCGACCATCTGACAAGCCAAGTCAATGGGGAAGCCAGATTCACTTAACAACCAGGTGACTAATTTAACTGGAATGATTCACTTCACAACCGTGGCAAGAAAAATTACGAAACGGGGCAAAACTCACTTAACAAATGTCTCACTTAGCAACAGAAATTTTGGGCTCCATTGTGGTCATAAGTCGAGGACTACCTGGAAAAGGAATATTTATCCTTGGATATGTTTTTTTCCTTTTAGGTAATTTATAGCTGCAATTCCTTACAATTTTTGTTGTGCCAGTGCAGGACCACCAGAATTCTACTGCCAACAATGGTGCAGTGTGATTTTTTTGGGGTGGTGGTAGCATCTAGTTTTCAATTAATGTTTTAAAAGAAGTATGTTAAGTATAAAGTATGTTCTATGAGTCTGAATGCATGCATGCAGTCTCCCAGACAGGATAACCTCCCCCCTCCCAAAAGTTTTGGCCCATCTTACTTTGGTGATATCATAGCTAAGCCTACATGGTCCTTGAAGGTGAATGACACAAAAATAACAACGACAAATGGGTGATTCCAGCCCAAAAAGCATCATTTGTCCAACTTAGTGATAGATCTATCTCTATCTCTCTACCTCTACCTCTATCTCTCTATCTCTCTATTTCTATTTCTATCTCTATTGCTATCTCTATCTCTCTACCTCTATCTCTCTATTTCTATATCTCTGTATCTTTCTCTCTCTCTCTCTACCTCTACCTCTCTATTTCTATTTCTATTTCTATCTCTCTATCTCTCATCTCTCTATCTCTCTATTTCTCTCTCTCTCTCTCTCCCCCTATCCCTATCCCTATCCTATCTCTATCCCTATCAGAATAGTCATTTACTTTAAGTCCTACAGAGAAAGTAGTTTTGGAATCTTGCTTAATGTAAAAGCTCACAGAGACTTCAAGTCACAAAGATTCAAAGGTCCGTTTCACAACAAACCCTATGTCCTTGCAAGTAAATTTCCTAAAGTCTATGACTTTTTGCCAAGTTTTAACATCCAGCCTCTGGTCAACAGAAGTACCCAAGATGTAACAGCAAACACAATGATGATGTCATTGAGACCAAGTGTTGATGCTTTACCCACTTGGCTAGCAAGGTCTTGCACATGACAAATTGAGTAATCACAAATCCATTGGAAGCACAAGAAGGGAACATGATTAGATTAAATAAATATTAGTTTTGCAAATGCCTACTTATTTTATGTCCCCCTTGTTTATTCTCTTTCCAGGACCCAATCAAGGGAACATGAAGCAAACATAATACTATTCTTAATTTAGTCATGATAATGATATACATATAAAAACATATACATACTCACCTTCAATGGTAAGCAATGCTACACAGATTTCAGAAACAGAAGCAAAAAATAATAAGAACAAGAATTTAAAGGTTTGCAATAAAAAATTAAAAAGGAAGCATAGCAAAAAATAGAGAACATCAACAGTACTTCTTTTAACTTTCTACACTTGCAAATCATGCTTGTTTTCTTTATGTCAATAAATAATAACAGTTTTAGTATTACAATGATAACAATCTTGCTCGTCTTTTTGCTCTGTATTGTTTTAATGTCAGATATTTAAATCATGTTGGTCCTCCCTTTTAAAAATCCCCTTTACCACTGGTATCAAATCTTTCTCAATAGGAGCTCCACTGACTACGGAGCTAATATTTCTATAAGTTGTGGGTTTGTGTAGGTAAACGTATGTCCCACTTTGTGGTGCAATTAAGAGAATAGCGTATGAAAAGTCTTCCTCTGGCTCAGAGCCAGAAAAAGTGTTTTTTTTTCTGTAGAAGATCTTAATTTCCCAGTATCTTTGGAAGGGAAAGATTCATGTTTGAAACTCTCTGGGCAGTCAGTGTGATGTACGGTAGTGGTTAAGGAACTGAACTAGAATCAGACTAGGACTAGACTCTAGTTCAGCTTCACATGAGCTATAGAAGCCCATACAGGACTCTAGTCCAAGCTTCCTTATAATATAAGGTGGTGTAAATGGGATGTAGGTCCTAAACATAAGATGGGATATAAATGTTAGGGCACTGAAAGTCCTGAAAAGAGGTGCTCTATAAAGCACGCTAGCATGATCAAAGCAGCCCTCTTCACACCATTAAAGCAGCTAGGTCTGTTAGAATTGCTGGGGGTGGCTGCACAACACTTCCTGTACAGTCTTTGGAGCAATTATGAGAGCTTTCAAAACAATTCAGCTACTTTGAGAGATCTGCTTTGCTCACACAAATAGGCTTTGCAAACCACCTGCTTTTGAATCACACACAGATACACAGACACAGACACACACATAAGCACCCACACGGGACTCAAAAGTCAGCCCCCTTCCTTGACAATAGATTATATAAATTACTAATGGCAAATTGGTTGCCATTTTCCTGTAAATAGTTCCTTATTTGTTGAGACTCATGACCTTTAGACATTCCGAAGGACAGTAACATTTTCTCTGGAAAAAAAAATCATATTGTGATTGGCCTATGGCAGGGGTAGGGAAACTTGGCTCTTCTATCACTTATGGACTTCAACTCCCAGAATTCCTGAGTGAGCCATAAAAGATTCCCCATCTCTGGCCTGCTGGTTTTTCAGTTGTGGTGGAAATCAATTTTTGACTTGAATGGGACTGTTCAATATACAAATGTAGGACATATTCTTTATATATATATTTATATGTCCTACATTTGTATATTAAACAGTCCCATTCAAGTCAAAAATTGATTTCCCCCACAACTGAAAAACCAGTAGGCCAGGGACGGGGAGCCTTGTATGGCTCACTCAGGTATTCTGGGAGTTGAAGTCCATAAGTGATGGAAGAGCCAAGTTTCCCTACCCCTGGCCTATGAAGCCTGACTTTTGGCACATTCTGTACACACACACACACACACACACACACACACGTTTTGAATATCAATTCCAGCCAGTATAGTCCAGACTGCCCATAACAAGGAATTGTAATCTAAAACATAGTTACTAGGCGAGCCAGTTTGGTCTAGTGATGTACCATGTTAGAAACCAGGAGAATGTGAGTCCTATTCTTTATTTAGGCATGAAAAACCAGCTGAGTGACTTTGAACGGTGTCTCTGTCTTTCTAAGCCCACAATGTCATGTTGGGCAAGCCAGTTGGTCAATTCCTGCCACAGCCAAATGGATCAACACTTGGTTGATAAAAATAAAATAAATTCTGCACTTGTGGGAAAATGCTAACTTGTGCACTTATACGAAAATGCTAAGAAGAAAGAAAAGAAAAATTTGGTGCAGCAATTAATATGCTGGAAGGGGAGATTACCTGTTGAGTATAAAAACAATTCCGGTGTTACTCAAGCAAGAAGGAAAATTTTGTTCTACTGTGGAAATTTTACCAATGCTTCCCATCAGATGCACAACACAATTTCTATTATGTCAGTGCTCTGCACAGAAGCCGGATCTGTGCAATTTCCCCCGATTGAGGTAAATATGGAGTTTTTGGGTTTTTTGAAATGTCTGTGTTTGCATGTTGTAATAACATTGCACAGCAGCGTTTCAGGCATAGAAACAGAGTCACCAGGTCCTGCTCATCCACAAAACAGGCATTTTGTGACTTCTTTTTCTCATCAAGGTAAATAGTTTTCAATGGATGTGTTTGGGTTGTCACTATCCATCAGGCCATTTTCAGAAACTTCTCAGTTCTTGCAAGGACCTCTTAGAAATACATTTCTGAATTTCCTTTGACATTTGTTGTAATAACATTTCAAAACTGTTGGTTCAAGGAAATGCTGGATGAGCTTCCTTAAGCTGGACTACCCTTCCATCAAGGTCTGACTGGTATTGAGTGACACCTAGAAAGCCAAAGGTTTCATCCTGATCCTTCAATACAAATTGCAAGCCTTTTTGTTAGGGTTTTTGACAAAGATTCTTTCATGTATTTAGCCTCTGGAGCTTTGGCTGAAAAGCAGAAAGAAGGATGAGCAGTTGTGAGTCTTCCTTTTCTCTTTAGGTGACTATCTCAAATTGAGATTTTGGATTAACAGTAGTTAGTTTTAATTTAGGCTTAAATTAAGTGGCACGCTGTTACAGTAATATTTATCAAATATTTATTACATTT